ACTGGAGGGTCAGCTCTGATTGGTTTGACTCCATGTCACATAACAGTAACTGATGATTCAACGGTAAGGAGTTGTGCTGCCAACAAAAAGACAGGTGTTTAAATCTACCAGCTGCTCTGTGGGAGAAAGATGGGCAGTCTCCTCCCATGTGATATACAGCCTCGGAAAACCAGCGGGAGGAGCAGCTAGTAGTCAGTTCTAACTTGATAGTATAACACACCAACAAACAACAAAAGGATTTTCTTTTTCTTAGAAAAGAGACAAATGAAAATTACAACTCCTGGAAGAAAGTTTTTACCTTATTTTATTTTCTTTAAATCAAAGCTTCTCTCCTGTTTTCTTGGTAAAAGATTTCCAGTTGTATTTTTCAATCACTAGATGATTATATTTGTAGAAAATCAGCTGGTAGTCCCAGTTACAAGACAGGAGAGGAAAGGAAGAAATTAAAGAAAGGTTTGAATCTATTTTCCAGAAGAAACTGAGAAGAGGCACCATCTTCATTACTTTCTGGGACTATTCCCTTTTAATTACAGTCGTGGCACTTGACATTTTACAATAATCTTGACTTTCAGTCATAACCTTCATCCTCATTAGCAAATGAAATATAATGAAATGGGTTGAGGTTTGGGTTGGTTTTTTTTTTTCCTCTTCTTTTTCTTCCTGATGCCTTAGAACAAAATGCTAATGAGTTCAAAATCCTGAAATTGTTTTAAGTTCCCCAAGTCAATGCACAAATAACTTAGGGTGTATTAGTTTAGTGTCCTTTTTAAATGTTTTTCACAACCAAAACAACAGTGCATCTGAAGCGTTCTGTGTTCTTATATCTGTATTTTGCCCCTACTTTTTCCAAGTATTTATCTTTTTTTCTTCTTTTTTATTATTATTATTTATTTCAATGAACATCTACAGAGATTTTGGAGTTCCATTCATTCACTGATGCACTTTTCTCCCCACCCACTCACCCCCACCCCCACTCCCAGTTCGCTCCTCTCCCAAGTATTTATCTTAGTTATACTACCCTATAGCTTAACTCTTTAGTTTCCTGTATCAGTCATAATATATGAGATTTGATTTTTGCTCTCTTCATGATGAAACAACACTTATAACGTTATTGTATTTTTATAAGACAGAAAGAACTAATTTCTTTACTGCCAAAATAAAGTGAGCATTTTGTGCAAAAAGGATGCTATTACTATAAGAAGTCAAGAAACAATAGGTATTATATAATTTGGGGAGTTTTTGGTGTCTTTGTTGAACACACATTTATGAGAGAGTCTTATTGTGTTGTTGTTGACTCAGAGCTGACTCATAGCTGAGCCTGCAATGAGTTTTCAGAAGAAGAAAATCACATGGGAGGAGATTGTGCCTTTTTCTTTCTCCCCACGAGCAACTATGGGATTTGAACTGTCTGCCTTTGTGTTGGCAGCACAGCTTCCTACCCACTAGGCCACTAGATGTTGGGCTACTGATAGAGGGTCTAAGTCAACTTTTTTGGCAGTATCTCAGATACTTGTGTTTAGTTTATCATCTATCGAGGAATTAGGGGAAAGATGTTCAGTTAATATGGTGCTATTTATTTAGTCAGTGCCAACAAAACGCATGCAAAGAAAAAGAAGATGATTTAACGTTACTTTAAAATGGGGAGAGAAGGGAAAAAGATAGGTAGGAAGGTCGATAATGTGTTCTAGAAAATGGGCATGTTAAGTGTGTCAAATGCAAAAAAGATTTAAAATTAGGCTACCTTGTTCTAAGAGCTTCTGTTCAACACAGTCCTGAAGCACATTACAGATTTCTCATCATACTTTGTTTTTCAGATACTTTGTTTTCCAGAATTTTTTTCTGATGTTTTATCCATGTTCTTTAGTTTTCTTCTTTATTTCACATCTGGATACACTGTCAATTGAATTAAATGTAATAAGTATGCAAGATTGTCCACTAGAAGCTCAAAATTGGCTTATTTCAGACTAATTTTTAAAGAATATTTTCCCAATTATATGCAGTTTATGATGTTTGTGTTTATCTTGATTACCTACACTTTGACTTTTTAATATTTATAAAATAGTAAGCACAGTCCAATATAATATTAAAGTACTTTCCAGGTAAATTGTATTATATAGACATGCAACTATGCACCAAACTTAGAGATGATTCTACTCTATGGGTATTTCTTTTATTATTGTTGTGATTTCTTTTTTTAAAATTTGTCATTCAGTTGTCTATTCTTATAAAAGTTTGAATTGGACTATTTAACACTCAATTATTTATAACATAATATTACTATATATATTTAAAACATTAACTCTTGGTTTTCCTGGTATAAAGCAAATAGATTTCCCAGATTATAATTTGATTTGATTTGATGCCACATTAATTTTATTCATATGACATTTTTTTCCTGTATTCAAGGATTTGCCATTTTAAAAAAATTTGAAGTCTATACTTTCCCTTTTGTTTCTTGTTTCTGGTATTACATTCTCAAAGATCCTTCTCCCTTATTTGCTTGCTTTCTTCTTTTTTGTGTATCATAATCTGTCCTCATGCTACCTTTGAAGCTTTATTTCCCTAATGCAATCTAACAAGCATCTACCAATTAACTCAGCCTAATCCCTGCTCCAAGTATAGAATGTAGTTACTTCTGGCTTTGTGAAAAGTCCCTACCTTACCTACTTAATTTTCTAGTTTTATTGAACACTCATATTCTCCTGGAATCATTCACTGATTTTCCTAATTTCCCCCATCACCTTCTCTGAACTTTGAGAAGTCAAATAAGATAAATCACACAGAACTGTATGTTATATGGAGTTCTCACTGTTGCTCTGTCCATCACGGAGAGAAGCATCCAAGCAGGAGTCACTGGTGTATGAGGAACATCATATACAGTGTGATCCTGTCCCAGGATCAACATCCACAAGTTGTTAATTTTATTCTCATGATAAAGGACATGTTTCTGTGTTGTTTAGCCTATTTTATGCTGTAAGAAAATTATAATTGCTCTTGCATAGACTTTAACTCATGGTAAACCTGTGCTCCAAAACATTTACACTGAGTAATTTCTAAGATAACCACGCCAAGTTTGTTAACTGTTTGCTCCACTTCAAAAACACCAAAACTTTCTCACATCAAATTGATTCTGGTTAATAACAAACATTTAGGACAGAATACAATTGCCTCTTTATTTTGCCCCTTGAGGCCATAAATCTTTATAGAAGTTGACTGCCACAGTTGTCTCTCACAGAGCAGCCATTGGGTTGGAACATTTTAGCTACTGTATCACAAACATTTCTCTGGCTCCATCCAGGGACTAATTTTTTTAATAGTTATGCCAATTGCCAAGTAGTAATTGAAGCAGACTTGAAGCACTTATTGCAGAAGATCGAGAAATGCAGCCTTCAGTATAGATCGTATCTCAATATTAAGAAAACAACGTAACTTATCACTGGACCAATAGGCAGTGTCATGATGGATGGAGAGGAGATTGAAACTGTCAGCAGCTTTATCTTACTTGTATTCACAATTAACATCCTTAGAATCAGCAGTCAGGAAATCAGGAGACACACTTCACTGGGAAAATCCGCAGTTACAGATTTCTCCAAGTTCCTGAGGAGTAATGATATCAATTCGAGGATTGAGGTGCATCTGATTCAGACCATGGTCTTTTTGATTACTTGTTATACATCTGAGAGCTGGACAATAAATAAGGATGACAGAAAAAGAATTGATGCCTTTGAGCTTTGGTGTTGGAGAAGAGCACTGAACATCTCATAGATGGCCAAGAGAACAGATGTGTCTTGGAGAGGATGCAGCTGGAATACTCCTTGGAGGCAAGAATGATGAGACTTCACCTAACACACTTGGGGCATGTTGTTAGGAGGGGCTATTCCTTGGAGAAGAGCATGATAGTGGGAAGGGTGGAGGGTCGGCAAACGAGAGGAAGACCCTCAAACAGGTGGATTGACATGATGACTGCTGCAGTGGGCTCTTGTGTGTCAGGAAGAGTGAGGATGGCACCAGATAAAACAGGGCTCAGATTTTTTGTTTATAGGATTGTTATAAGTTGTACTTGACTAGATGGCACCTAAAACCAACAACAACTATGATTTAAGGAGATTCCATATGTCCCAGTGGGAGGAAGCTGCGCTGCAATCCCGAAGATGCCTGGTTCAAATCCACCAGCTACTCTGTGGGAGAAAGATGGTCCCTCTCCCCCAGTGCTATTGACTGCTGCTCAGAACTCTGCAACTTCAGCTACGAGATGGTCTCAAATCAACAGCACACAGCAACAACATGAATTTCAGAATAGAATTATGCTTCATTGGGTTTTTGGAGGCTAAATTTTCAGAACTTTTCTCATAAAACACCTCTAAGTGGATTCAAACCACCAAACTTTTAGTTAGCAGTAAGCACATTAACCTCTATGAATGTACCTGCATAGGAACTATTTCAATGCTTGGATGCTTTATAATAAACATAAATAGGTTCAATTGTTCATAGGATTTTCAAAGATCTATACAAATTCTTTTGAGTTGTTGTTATTGTTATTGTGTACCATGGAATCAGAGCCGAACCATAGCTGACTCTCCAGTGCATTTTCAGAGACAGTTAATTACAAAGGAGGAGATTGTCCATTCTTCTTCCATGGAACAGCTTGAACTGCATGCCTTTGGGATTGAAGTACAGCTTCTTGCCACTAGGCCACCAGGGATCTTTAAATATTTTTCCAATATTGAAGAGCTATCCAATGAAAGATGATAGCTATGGAAAGGCATTAGGTCTTTTGTTCATGGAGTTGCTATGAGTTGTTTGACTCTATGACAGTCATCAACAACAACAACAATCCTATGAATAGAATTAGTTAAAACAAGAGTGAAAGCAGAGGAAAAGATAAGTAGTGCTGTTTTGTCAAATATGTTTTAAAGGATTTGTTATAATTTCAGAATCATGAATCTCTTCCCAAAAGATATATTGCCTTATTTTGAGAGTGTGTTATTGTTGTTTTGTAGGATACAGCAGGCCAGGAAAGATACAGGACTATCACCACAGCCTATTATCGTGGGGCCATGGGCTTTATTTTAATGTATGACATCACAAATGAAGAATCCTTCAATGCAGTGCAAGACTGGTAAGTAAGAACAAATACTTTCATTACAAATATGATTTTTTTCATTCAATTCTCTCTTTTCTCCCAATTGCAAAGCAATATTTATATTTATTATAATCTACAATCCCACTTGTCCTTCATAACACATAAGTGCAACTTGTACTTGGAACCATTATGCAGTGATTGATGGCAAATCATTTTGGTGACTTTCCCCCCTATGTTTTGTCAACTCTAATGCTTTGCAAACTGTCACCTTTAGTTCCATAAAGTACATTACTTTTGATTTTTTTAAAAGGTAAATAATGAATGCTTTGCAAATTTACTGATCTAGAAGAGACATTGAGAAACAAAGCCCATTGGCAGGATTTACTTGTGAGCTAAATTCAGTATGACAACAGCTTTTATAAATAACATTTTATTAGACTTAACCAGTCTTTTTTTCCCTCATGTATTATATATGGCTGCTTTCACTGTACAACAGCTGGATTGATTTGTTGCAAAGGAGACCATATGACCTGCAATGCCAAAAAAGCTTAGTGTTTGGCCCTTTACAGAGACAGTTTGCTGCTTCTTGGTCTAGGAGAGTTGTTGGATAGATTTTTCAAGATGTAAAGCTTCAAAGGGATGGGATGCAGGGAAAGATAAAGGCAAACCCTTTCTGGTTCATGCTACATGAAACCATGTGAAGGAAATCTATCCATGATCCATGTAACTTGTAGGAAAGGAATTACCACTAAGACTGCAGCTCTCTTCTGATCCAGCAGTAACTTGGAAGGAGACATTGACAATTTGACTATAGTGATATGAAGCATTATGGCTGAACAGGGCTTACTTTCTTCATAACTATCTAATATTCCAATAGTTATTCTGTGCTAGTAAGTTAGAACCAATTCATGGCTGACCTTCCAGTGGATTTTCAAAGGTTGTAAATCACGTGGGAGGAGTCTTCTCATCTTCATCATAGGGAGCTGCCGGTGAAGTCATACCTCTGGCTTTCAGACTGGCAATGCCATTCCTTACCTACTCAGGCACTTTTGTTATTGTTGTTCTTGTTATGTGTGATTGAGTTGAAATTATGAAAGTCCAACTATTGCTGTTATATTGAGTAGAAACTGACTCATAGCCAACCCTTCAGTGGGTTTTCAGAGGGGAGGCGAGTGACCATCTTTCTCCAGTGGGGTAGCCGGCCGAGCAGCTGTTAGATTCAAATTGTATGGTTTTTAGGTTGGCAGTGCAGCTTCTTACCACTAAGCCACCAGAGCTCCCTAAGTTCCAACTATAACTATGTAATGGTTGTTGTTGTGTACCATTGAGTCTCAACTGGCCGGTAGCTGACCCTTCAGCAGGTTTTCAGAGGCTAACAGCATGGGATAAGATTACCCATAACTTCTCCCATGGAGCAGCTGGTAGAGTCAAACCACTTGCCTTCAGGATTACAAAGCAACTTCTTGGCCCTAGGCCACCAGAGGTCCCTATGTAATGGTAAGAGGAAAATGGAATTCCACTTGCATAAGTGAAGAATAATGACCAGCACTGAGAAGACATCACCTTGTAACTCTAAATAAAGAAACAGGCAATCAAACTCTGTCAAAGGATGATTGTTGTTGTTGTTGTTGTTATGTGCCGTCGAGTCGTTTGCAACTCATAGCGACTCTATGTACAACAGCCCTAAACCCTGCTCTGTCCTGTGCCAATCGCATTGCCTCTGACACACCCATCCCGATTACCGCAGTCACTGAATCAATCCACCT